TCCTATGACTCAGTTCATCTTTTTACCGTTTCACACTAACTATGACCTATAATGAGTTCAGTCACGACATGTGGAAGAAATCGTTGTGTGAATATCTTGAAGGTCTAGTTGCTAGAATTCAACTAGCTATGCAATGTCTCTATGAGATGCATCCTCCATGTCTTCACACACTTCTTAGGCAAATCACAAAAATAATACAACCACTCAGCAGTGGCTTTAGAAGTAAAAATAAAAGTTGTCAAATATACCACACTCGATAATTATCAATGCAAAACAAATTGTCGAGCGTCTGATAACAGCTATGCATTGAAAGCGATAACGTGAAATTGTAAGAATAAAAAGACTTGGTTTTCATCTACTTGGATGAAGGTGCTGACTTCATCTGCATCAATCGCTAAGACCACGTCAACAAGCGTTGTCCATCATATCCGACGGAAATAAATGGTCATAAGTGAGTAACCAGAAAACAGAACACAACAAAATGAAGAGAAAATAACACAAATGCTAAAGAAGATGATGAGCGAATCGATTATCAGCTCCGAATCAAATGACCAAATGTGAGAATCAGCTTCTCTCATATTCCGTTTGTATTTTCTTTGGAAAGTGCACAAACAGAACCTATCACTGCGTCCATTCTTCGATTTGGCGAATTCATCATATAATGCTACTATCAAACAGCTCGCAGACATCCTCCTACCTATCAGAAATAATCTCTGTCAGCATAGTCTCTTAGATTATTTTGAATTCGTCGATTCACTATTGATTCTGATGCATTCGGGAAGAAAATCATGTCCATGTATGTGTCACGTCTGTCCAAATTAATGTTTCTCTCAAAGAAATTATTTCCTCGATATACAGAATCCCTTAAGGATAAGAATGTAGAGGTTGGTATTCTGATCCACTACTTAGAATAACTACGACTGTCATGCCTTTTCTATGTCTACTTCAAGTTCAGCGACAGGATCCTGAGACAAAGCGTTGGAGTGGCAATGAAATCGCCGCTGAAAGATTTCTTGGCCCAAAACTTTCTGGTCAATTCTGAAGAGTAGTATGTAAAGACAATTACTGACTCAACATCGAAATGGAACCTGAGGGGTTTAACAACTGTCATCATGCTATGCGGTCTACGTTGAAATCAAAGAGGAACTCGGATTTTTACCCGTTCTTCGCCATATACGTCTTCTGACGGTTCTCTTCATGGATCGATCTAAAGGAAAACAATAAGGAATAGTCAATAATGAAATTTCCAATCTTCGGTCCCATTGATAATATAGAGGATTCTGATCCAATCTGATCATCAACAGTTAGAAGGATATGTTGCAGTGATTCAATCGCTAGGGACCTAAAGCAACTAAGACGAGTACCCATGTAAAGTGAATATTCTGGAATACTCCATGAGATAATCATGAAGATTAAGCAGAAGGCTGAAATAACGCAGACGGTGCAGAGAAACGACTTCTTATGAACAGTGAATTTGAAGGCGATACCGATGCTGAGATCCTGAAGATCCAATTATGTAGATCACTGACAAAATCTTTCTTCACAGCTTAGCTTAGGTTCGATTTCTACAAAGGCTCTTGTCTGAACTACGTGTTGTGCTATGATTATCCTTTCTTGAAGAGAGGAAAATGTTGTCGGTCACGTTTGCTTTACTACTGGCACCACATTAATAGTAGCCTAAAACATTTATTCAAAATATCGGAAACTAACTGCTTTGTAACAACACCCGCATACACAAATGGTTGCATTGTGCTTGTTGTGTAACCCCACATCCACTTTCTCCTAACTGAGTCATCCAGAATTTAATATATGTGGACAGACATCTTAACTTTTGTATTCCTTTGCTTGTCAAATGAACATGGTGCATCATGCTCTAAGCTGTCAAGTTAAGCCAAGCACAATTTCATGCTAGCTGTTGAACAGGACAAAGTTTCTCTTATTCCGCAGTTTCACAATATGAACTTTCTTTCTGCTAGTGAAGAACTTTCCTTTCTTTCCTGAACCTGTGGGGTTACAACTGTACCAGTGTTGCATCCATTTTCATCGTCATAGACTAAATGAGATGAAGTGGAGCTTCATACCCAATCTGTTTGGCCTTTTGTTAACCACGGAATACGATACTACGTGATGAGCTTGTAAGGCTGTCTCTACGTGTCCGCAATGTGGGTAGCTTATTCTACAAGACAGCTTAGCTTGCCGATTCACAGTGAAGTGGTAGACCTGGATGGCTATCTTATCATCCAATTTGGCGGTTGGAATCTATCGGTTCGAAATAAGAAGAAGAACGGAGTGTGGCAGCTGTAGTATAAGTCCGTTTCGTGGTTCTATTTATTCTGAGATGACACAAAGTGAATGGCAGCTTCAGGAGAAATCGTAGCTTCTTTATCTGTGGTGGATTTCCCTTCGCTATACACAATACTCATGTGTCTTCTCACATCTCGACCGGTACAGCTCATTTTGGGAAGTGAGTTGTTTGTCTTTACTGAAGTATTTTCTAAGACATTATCAGCACAAATCATTCTTGGTCTACTTGCGAGGAATCCGACCAAATTAATTATATATCGGATGACTGCGAGACTGAAAATGTGTTCATAAAATTACCAATATCTTCTTCTATAGTTGATATTTTTTTGAAAGAGATCAGGATTCAAGCTGTGAATTTCGATCTTGGAGTGTCTGCTGGGAGTATGTGGCACGTGTCTGCTGCTGACAGACTTTCGATCTCAACTTGTTGACAATATTCTTCTAGATTCCCAGGAGCTAGTTAGCGTTGCACATTGTTTACATTTCTACTAATAAGGAATTTGATTTGTAATGCTGCTTCTAGTGATTAGTGAGGTAGTTTCGATTTGTGGATGATCAATTACTACTTAGTGGTAACACAGATCTCACTCCAAGTAACTGTTGTTTTATCATCATCGAGACAGATCTGTATTGTGTCTTACTCAAGTAAGTGTTGGTCAGCTATACAGGGGAATGCAAAGATCGATTTCTTACGTTCAGACAATAACACATGGTTTTCGATCTGTACAGTGCGCGTGTCTTAGTGATGAATTTGAATCATAAAAGTAGATTATATGAAAGGTAACATGACTGATTTTAAGCATAGCTAATTTTGTGAAAGAGAAAATGTTTATTTTCAATTAGTAGAACACCATCACCAGAGAAAAAAATTTTCTTAGCTTGTTAACACCTCATATCCACTGTGTTTCATTAAATTTCATCACCTGTGAAAAAGATGGAGTCATATAATTAATTGTTGTGGATTCAAATAACAAATTATATGATTAATTGTTGTGGATTGACACAATTTTCTAGAGTTAGTTCTCAGGCGTTTAACTTGTTTCATGTTTGACTACGGATTGATATCACTTAGAGAATCACTGGAAACCAGATGAGAGTACTGGAAAGCTGGCTGTCTAGTCTTGGCTTACGACTGACCAGCATTACACACACCATTGAGGCTGGAACCCAGTGGTTTTCGGTGAACAAGGGAGGCTTGTTGATTTTCCAGCATCGGACCCAGCCTAATGTTAATTGTGTCAATTATAAATGCTACCAGTTCGCGATTTCCGCACGACAACCAGTCAATCTCTTCCGTGTATATGCATGTTTACTTCAACACAGGTTGGCGTTATTTTTCTCAACTTCTTATTCTGAAATCCAGACAATTTCATCCTGCAGCCAGTCACGTCCGACCATCCGACTAATTTTTAAGAATAAGACAGCTGAATTCTTTCAAGCAGTAATCGCATTCAACATCATGAATTGTTTGAAGTTAGAATTCATGAGGCGGAATATTGTCCGATCTTGGCTTGTAACCGGATTGTTTTGCGCTGGGTGGTGCATACTTCAAATGAGCACCAGCCTAGGATGAAACAGCCAGCTTTCAATACTCCATGGTGCTTTTCAGGCTTTCTCTGACTGATGTCAATCCGTGGTTGACATTAGTGACTGATTAAGTCAGTGATATAGTGGTTCACTCGAATTTATGTCTTGAACTCATGACACACCGTTGAATATGAAATAAGACATGTCGTGTCTCCTCATAGCTAGTTTGTCTTTTTGGAAATGCAGAAGTTAAAACGCTTAGGTTTGTCGTTGTATTCCATCCAATTGTTTGATACGTCAACGGGAATAATTTGTAAGCTCAAGTTGCTGGATAGGACAATGTGTATGCGTGATGATGGGAGCGTACCAGTGACTCTTGCTGATTGAGTTTTAGTCCCATTTCACTGAGACTGATTTTCTCAATGATTTTCTCGTAGCATGTAATTGTGAAAGGACGTCTTTTCTCTCTGAAATATCTTCTGAACGTGCAACTACCAGAGGACATTTTTAGGCCATTTCGTATTTTTGACGTATATATAATTGCTGTTGGATACATTCACATATTTCATCAAGCAAGAATGTCCTTTGTGATTTCTGGAGGATAATTTTGGCATGTGAGTCACTCGTGACAGTTTGTGAGGGTATTTCGACGGTAGGTAGGGATTGCTTTGCGGATTAAGGCCAAAATACAGGTGGCTATCTGGGAAGGGATCAATGCAGACGGCGATAGTAAGTGATATTGAAGAGGAAGAGATTAAGCAGAGAGAACTCTGTATTCATTAGTTACACTACCCTTAAGTTGATCACAACCAACAACTATTCAAGAAATATGCACAACCTATACAAAACTTCCAGTGATTATGTATTGTCTGAAGAAATCAAAATCTTGAACACCAGAATGTTATCAGAAGCCGTTGAAAATCAGATAGGGTACTCAAGAATCACTGACGACGGACTGAGATGGGTAGATGGAATCTCAACACTTCACATTGTCATTGAACACAGCATAGAATGACAACTTTGAACGAAAAATACCATCAACATCATCGACTACGGAGTAAATTGAGAATTGCTTGAACACTACAAATTGTGGCACCGCAAACATTTTCAAACTTTGTTCACGACTGCAGCTATACGACACCAGCCACATCCCAGGGAATTCTCATAGCAATACTCATCGGAGCATTTGAAGTTGCGATAGGACTAAGATAATGCTAGAAGCTTCATGATCGTGTGTGACTGCATTGTGTAGCAGAATCATGACAGAATCATGAGAATCATGACAGAAGACTGAGGCATCATTCTCGGACAACCTATGTTATGTATATATATACGAAAGCGACAGGTCGAGAGAAGCATCAATTATGGGATTTCTAATAAGCTTAAGGAAGGAAAGATTGTTGGCGATAACCAGCTAATGACAACAGTCTGTATTCTCCATTAGATAAAGAAACCTAAAAGAAGTTCGTTTTATTGGGTTGAGCAGGATCCTTCCAAACTGAAGAAGGGATGGACAGCGATTTCAAAATCCGAACCAGAAAGGTGAGACAGATTTGCATTGCTGAATAATTTAGTTTTGAAATCTACGGGATGGTGTCGCTATCCTCATGCTGAAACCTCCCTTTTTTCTGTCCTAAAACTGCATAAGAGCTGTGCGTTAGTCAGTGACTTAACCCCGCACCACAAGCGTGGACGTCGAAAATTCTACCAGTGTGTCACCAACGCGACGGAAACCTATTGCTGAACAAATATTCTGAAGTAAATGGAGAGAGATTGGATGTGATCTAAGCAGACAAATGACTGATATCACACACACCAAGCCCTTGAGTGCTATCTAGATAGGAATACTCTCGTTGGCCTGGCTCCATAGAGTGACTTGGAAGAGAAATTTACATTTCTTGGTGGTCAGTGTCACTTTCAGGATTAGTTGAGAATGCATAGAGGACGCGCGAACCGAGGCCAATACGGAAGTCCACATCTCAAGCTATAAATTCATCTTATACCTAAGCAATACGTGGGTGAATACTGGCGATAATGAAGATACTAATAAACGCATGTCGCCTAAATATTTTTGTTACAACCAAATAAATAGAAATTAAATATTCTCTAGATCACTCACCAACGTCGCGATCACGCCCTGGTTTCAATGCATACAGAGCTGTATTCATAATATCCAATGGCAACTGTGCTAAAAACAAACGTGTGGATTACTGTATGAGTGAAATTTGAGTGAACTTACTGTGAAGCCTGTTGATTCTGTGTTTCTCGACCTTTTCTACTTCAGAAACCAGTTGAACTAAACATGTGAAATGAATTCAAGGAGAAATATCAATTGAGTAGTGATCTTATTATAAACTAGTGAATAATCGAATAGCTCATTTTCCATTAATCAAGTCTGCAATGCGAACTCTGTGTCAGGTGACTCAAGTGGATGTGGAAGATGAAGATGGAAACAGAGGGAGACATAATTGAAGACTTTTGAAACATCTAAAGGATACATTATAGCCAAATTGAAAATGTACTCAACATATGACAATATCACGTTTATTGGATATGCGAGCGTGACAATCAAGCAAATGGTCGACTCAAGCCGTTTAATCCAGTTCATGCAAATGGGACAGACACACTAGAATGTCTAAAGACAAACAGCAACGAGCTGACAAAAGAGGCATAAAGCGAAGACAAGATTTCAAATGAAAATAGTGGGGAAATCGGCGAAGAAGATGACCAATCAAACACCACCACCAACAAAAACAACAAACACCAATGACTGTCAGTTGACAAGAGTGAAGTTGTCAAAGCTGCTCAGCTTCGGAGTGGGAAGGCAGACTTTCATTTCACTGAAGTCACTTTGAAAATCTCCTCAACTAACCAAAATACAACATTACTAATTGATCACTAGTGTGAATTCATTCACATATTCTTTACAGCTGAGGCACTTCCCTTGCTATCAAAAAGCTAATTAGGACTTGCATCAACAGATACCTTCGCTTACTCGATACTGAAAATCAGATAGTCTGAATGGATGAGCAACAAGAAACTCCAGCAGCGAACCCACCAAGTAACTGCGACCTAAACATAGACTGACGAAAAATGCAAATGGATCAGACATACGCTGAGGAGACAGCTGAGTGAAACTATGCATCACACCAGACGTCAAATGGAACATGAATGGAAAAAGATGAGTTGAGCGTCTGAATATGACATTGAGGATATGGTGTCAGGATTACATGAGAGCTTATGGACAATCGTGGAGTCAGAAAGAGACAACTCAAGGAATCAGAATCAAATGTTGGTGATTTTGATCTGAAGCTCACTAAGAAATGAAGATGGCCCAATTTCACCAAGGTGGATTCATCATATATTGACAGGTCAGTATTTACGACCTAATAGCTGCTGTCTAATTTTATTGCAACAGATATGTAGTCAATGTTTCGTTGTTCATAGGCACATAGATCGTGCTTTTTGAAGAGCTGATCAAAGAATGCTTTCGTCGAATTTGCAAAATATCCATCGTCAAGCGAAACCGCACCGAGTTTTTTAGTGAGTATCTCACGTAGCATATCTAATAGTTCATTGAAATAATTGCACAAAAGAAAAATGCATTATTTAGATTGCCATTCATTGAAAGGTAACAAGATGAGTTTACGAGATATTCACTGAAGAAGATATATTCATGCAGATTTCTGGACATGAGCAATTGATTTCCATCATGTGAAAGACTGCGTGGTAGACTTCTGAATGGTTAATTTATAGTAAAAGTACACTGCTACGATGCAAAGATGCAGCAGCAATCCAACATCTGAGGCATAATTTGTGGCTACATGGGGATTAAATTATCCACCTTGGATTGACTTGGCAACTCGTTGTTTCCTTACTTAATATTTCAGTGATTGTACCATCTCGTAACCCTGGTTAAATATCGTTCCAATTTCTAGAATCTCCACCACTCATTATGTTTATTATATGTCAGACATAAATGAATCATATCAGTAGAGATTCTTACTGTTATCAACTTGTCAGTAGACAAATGGCTGTAGTCAGAAGAACTGGCCAGTTGCACGCATGAACTCAACTGTCAGTGGTCGGAACAAAGTTATGAAGCCCTCTAAGGATTGATTACAGGATGAAATTGACTAGTGTTCTAGTGACAAGTCACGACTGATGGTGTGCTCTTGGTAGAATGTGAGGACATATTCTCGCCTTCGACATTGTCTGGGGATTGTGATAAGATCACGAAGTCTTACTTGTTAGAGTTCAAGGGTCGTCGGATGACGGACTATATTGGTTGGGTGGCTAACGAGGCTGTTTGCATCACCTGCATATTCTCGGTTCTACCTCCTTTGAGGTTTTGGGAGCGTACAGACGAACAATCCTGAACTGGCAATGATCAACACCTCAGTATTACCTTATGGTTTCCAGTGATCAGTCAGGTAATATCAATGCATGATCACACTTGAATCGAATAAAGTCCAGAAACACTCTTGAATTTTCTATGATAATTCCAGCCTCGAGAAACGTCCTTCGAAATACTATGCAAAAGCTATTCAACACGTGTTATGTTGGTGAAGTCCTGCACACAGGCCTTCTTCCTTTAAGTCTGCATAGTGATGTCAGTATTTGAAATCGCTTCACGTAAGAGGGTATAAGGACTGGAAGCAACAATTTTCTGCTTACCAACAGCTTCCTTGAATTCAGACATTGGTGCATTTCTCCCATCTGATTTCTTGAAAAATTCTTTGGCAGCTAAAGGAAAATATGAGGATATCGATAGAAATTGTTAGCAGGCACAATGGACTAGGGAAGGTAAAGAGTATCAACTTCTATAAGTGACAATCAGATATTTGTCTTGCCTGCCTTCAGTTCTGAATGGAGCATATGGTTCCACGGAACTTGAAATACTGACGTTTCAAAAGCTGATATGTTGTTTCACTGGCGAACATTGTTATCCTCAGGCGCAATGTTCCATCCTCGCCAAGTTTACTCTGTGCTGGTACACTAGTCGAGGTTCTGGACTCTGTCGGCGGGTTATCTGATTCGGCACCCCTCTCGATTTGCTGGCAAAATTTCTTCTGCTCAACCTCTGACACAATCGGATACACGGGATATTTGTTCAAAACTCACTTAGAAACCAATAATTAAGCAACTAGATGGGTGTTGGATAAGTTGACATCACTAGCTGAAATCTGTTGGAGAACTAGTGAAATACCGTAGGTAGTGAACAACTGTATTGCCCAAGATATATATGAGACGCATATTATCAGACAATTGGAAATGTCGATTCTTACAAGACAGACTTGAACACCGCGGACGATTTACATTCAATATCACACCGATTCGAGAAATAAGAGTGAAAACAAAGTTCGTCAGAAGTAGTGGATTCAACTTCTACGACAACATTGTGAAGTCTTTTAGTTCGTCTGGATCGGTCAGAAAGTCGACGTACAAAAAACTATTTCAAACAATTCACTTTTGACGTTTATCACCAGATGCCTTCCCTGGGTCGATGCCGAATAACAAAGAGCGTGAATTCGACTGAATAGTAGTTGGGAACTAACGAGAATTCTTAAAGTCTGCTCAAGGTGTTTGCACAAACCAGGATACGTGAGAGATGACTTTCAATTCCCATGTTCCAATCGGAACATAGGGGAATAATAATAAGAATTTCATGGTAAAATATTCATCATGTATGTAATGCATGAATGGATCGGTGTTTTGGTGAATGGATGAATCACAGTACTCTGAATTGCATAGATGCTATGTTTGCTGGTCGGCTGAGCAGTACAGACTCAACACACACAGTTCTAGTCACCCTTGGATATCTGTCATATGATAAAATTTCTGGTGAAAGACTAGAATAACAGATATTACTTTACACCATAAACAATAAATTGATCCTATTGCAGATGGTGAACATATCTGTTGGTCAGTTGCAGTAGCCATTTGCCAATCAGAAACAAAAAAACAAAGTGGGGCTCACTCTTCGCATCTATTTGTATTCCTGACATTATCTGACACTTCTGCTCGACAGTTCCTGGACAAAGAGAAATGAAATTAAGCACGATTCAAGATAATCCGATCAAACAGTCAACGTGAAATAGGTGTTCTCCATGCCCACATATTACTGACCATTTTGAAATCAGGCGTATACACTTTACAAGAGAAGCAGGTGCGAATGTGGCTAAATATTTATGTTGTCTGAGTAACTGCTTATTCAGTTGTTGAAGTGATTGTAGGAGGAGAATTCAAGCGTTTCGGTCAAATAATAGATGCACGTTGGATTTGTTTATTTTTGGTGTAGCTGTGTTTCCTTAGCTGTGTGGTTTTTTTGAGGAGCTTTGATAGCCTTGCCAGGCAACATCCTCAGTCAATCGATTGTCCTTTTCTCTTCCAAAAAGGGCAAGTACAAATAGTTGCCTCTACATGTTTAAATATACCAAATTGGGAAAAGAGTTTGAAATTTAACATTCGTTCAAATATTTGCTTACTTCTTAATTTGACGAATTCTGATTCAGTAGCAATTCCCAAGTCTTCTCCTATAAACTGATTACCTAATGGAGAGTAGAAAGCAATGCTATTGTAAGTGTTATTTTTGATTTCTATGCTAATATAAGTGCAGTTTCAATGTTGTAAAGTGAAAATGAAATTAATTGCTTGTGGTTTCTGGTGAATGTGGAAAATTATTGCGTTTATAGACATGTAATGTTAATATTGTATGTGTGTATGTCTGTTGGACAACCTCTTGTCCTCTTACTATTTAGGAACTCAGTGTATATTTGCGAAAGGCATTAATGTATTTTGTGACTATCTTCCAGTGCTCGGATTGCGATTGCTGAGTTTCTCTCTTTAGACTCGCCAATTTCTTGGGTCAATCATTCTACATTGAACTCAATCCATGTGATTCGATAACCTGATTCAGTCCGCACAATTACACTGGTGGCACATGTACAGATGACATTGAAGTCATTACACAGTATTTTGTGCACAGGAAATTCGTCTTCTTTTAATGAGTAAATAGGCTCTTTAAGCCTTGAGAGGAGTTATCTGAGTGATTCTGAAGATCTGAATGCCGCATTCTAATTTCCACTTCATTCAGAAACCTGCATAGGATTGCAAATATTTTCTCTGTGTTCTGTATAACCGAATACGCCTTCAATTGCTACTCATTTACGTTAGTGCTAATAGTCTGATATTTTCATATCAACCTAATGAATTTAAGAGGACATTGTCTCATCACCGATGTCTCTACTGTTGCGTATTAGCTTACGTTTTCGCATCGTTTCTCAGCAAATTAGTTAAGTACGCTATAAATACCAACCAATAAAATCACAGGATAATAACTAATGGAATTATATGATCAAATCATTCTGGAGAGAGTAACAGACGTGGTAGATGCTCAACGTTATCCGCAGTAGATCTCAATGAATGAATGCATAATTATTTCACATCAATCTTGCATGAGTATCTTTATTTAAAACTGATATCGTTCAATAATCTTTCGAAATCTTCTTCGACGTGTACAAAGAAGGTACTGTACGAAATTAAGAAACGCGTTACTTCTGTGTCCTGGAAGACATCAGATATATTCGTCAACAGATGACACCAAGGAAATCTGACCAATCATTGAAAGTATTTTAACTGATGACTTCCGCTCGAATTCACCACCAGAGCCAGTCCCTGTTACTCGTGGTCGAAGATAACCCGAGCGATAGTCGTTCAATCTAATAACAAAATATCATACTGTGACACCTGATACACGAGATCACGAATTAGTCAATTACTGTGCTACTGTTGACAGGAGTTGAAATTCACGGACCGCTACATCACGTCACAGTGTCTCAATGGTCTACAAACACGTCTTGTAAACGGAAGTGCCTTGGAACGAAGCTCGGTGGGTGAATGCTGCTGCTCGAAATTTGTGAAATTGGCCACTACGGCTTTCCAGTACATCATGCTTAATTCCAATGGTACTCGAACTGATGTTAGCTAGAAATTATCCCTCTCACTTGTTTCAAGACATTCAATATGAATAAATTATTACCAATAAGCTTCGTTAGTTTTGTCTACTCACTTCCAAAATAGTATTGTCTCATCTGAATATCGGCATTTTTATAGTACAAAGCTGTCAATGAAAAAAATCATGAATGTATCGTATAGTCCAAAAAGCAAACAATGAAAATGAGTAATCTTAGAAAGTGTGTCGTTAACTTTATCTCTTTAAAGTGTGTATGATCATAATAAAGAGTTGTAAGTCGACAGTTGCTACTGTCGAGTGGATCCAGGTCAGTGAGATTTCTGATGTAAAAGAAGAATTGGTAGAAGTTAGAATTCACGAGCGATTGAATCGGGTCCCAGTGGCTGAATGGTATACGAGCTTGCCTTGTAACCGGAAGGTCCTGGGTTCGAAACCCAGTGGGTGAGTACTGCCGATGATTCCCAAACTAGGATGAAACAGCAGCTGTCCAGTACTCCCTGGTTTTCAATGGTTCTCTAACTGATATCAATCCGTGATCAACTCGTAAAACATAACTAATCCTTACAAACCAAAACTATAAAAAGAAGAATTGTCATCATTTTTGAGATATTTTGTGCAGTTTTATTTGATGAGCAGATTTGAGGAGTTAAGCTTCAGTACATTGGTGTTCCTGCCTATAGTTAGAACGCTCTCATATTAAGCAGCTAATCGAATATAATTCTTCATATTTTGAAACTCCATTCTATACTGGTGCTCATACTTCTGCTACTGTGGTGATAGCTGACTTCTAGCCCAACTGGTAGACATTAGTTAACGTCAAGGTTTATGTCCCGAATATTGGTCACGAGAAAAGTGGGAACAAAGACTTTGCGTAGATGGATACAGTTAGCATATATGTGATCTGATATTCAAGAAACAGCCACAAAGTGATGATAGACAAACGTTCAGATAGAAACCACCAATCAAAATACTGTGTTTGTTTGCTTGAATAAGCTATAAAAATGTAAATGAAAATATATAAATACGTGTTAATTCCCTTAATAAAAGATCTGTTGCCTGGCCCTTAGCTTGTGTTGTTATACTACTACTACTACTACTACTAAAACTACAGCCACTCATTATACTGTTCTGTCAACAGTACGGCCTAATACCCATTCAACTGAAAACGTTCACTGATAATCTTTCAGCATGCGAAATGCATATTGTTCTCAAATCAATACTTGGCGAATCATCACTCTCAACATATGCCACCAGTATTTCACTACCATTCCCACAACTACAATATGGGATTAAGAAAGCTTGAGTTGGCAAAGCAAACTGTTTTATTCATAACGTCGATTCAAAGATGTGATATCCTGGCGCGTAATGCAATTCAATGACTTTTTCAATGTGTGTGTCCAATCTCTGTCATTTTCTTCGGAATATTTATTAAGTAATTGGTAAAAGCAATACGCACCCACCGGGGTTTGAACCCAAGACCCTGCGGTTACGACACCAGCTCGTATACCACTAGGCCACTGGGACCCAATCCAATGGTCCTTTAATTCTAACTTCTGCCAATTCACGACATAGCGCGACCGCTAGCCAATGTCTTCGGCGAGTATTTGTCTTCACACCCGACCCGCTGCACCCTACTCGTCACGACTTCCCACTGGAATCCAGGTAATTACCTACCTGAATAGGGCCAGTCGCCAGTGAGCATCTCATTGGTATTTAAGTATTGGTTTGTATGGATTTGATTAGTTTCAGGATTTCATCATCTTCCTTTTTAAAAATTCGTCTTCTTATTTAAACAACATTTTCCTGTCTTCTCCTTTTCTCGCAGTTTGACGAGTGATCCAGTTCACCTCAATCCGAATTAGCAACTGCAATATTGTTCAGCGTTTTCTTATTATTGTTTTTACCTAAAGGACTTCATCAAGTTCTTTATTGTGGATCACCTGCAATGTGCCATTCTCAAGTGGCTTTTCAATGATGTAGATAAAGATTTGTGAAGTACTTCCCAAACTCTGTTTAGTCAGTCAGTTTGTGTGATCCGTTTTCAATTCTCATTTATATTATTTTCCTTTAACCATTTCTAAACGTCCAATCATCATATAACGTATTACTTTTCAACTGCTGCAATCACGTAAGCATTATGAATGCTGCTTCTTACATTTCTATTTCCCATACACTTCAATTTATTTCACTACCGAAATGACAATAGACAGTAACTTGTGTTGTCATTGTGTATATAAACACTTAGGAAACTAGCGAGCTATGATGCGAAGTAACATGAGGCGATCTCCTTGTTAACCTGTGTACTCTTCTTGACTGTCGCACTTATTTTCAGGATCATAAATAAGCACAGAACGAAACGTGAAAACAGAATTTCCGACAATGCAGTTATTATTTACAGTGAATATTGTTCATGGAACAACAACAACGGATATATACACTGTCGACTAACCTGTTGAGATAAACAGATCTTTTCTAGCCATCCATGCATCGTTAAGAGATTTTACGAAGGTAACAAAGACTGCAAATCATCAACAGAATACAGTGTTAGACTCAGCATGTTCTTTCGAAACACGAATTCTTATTAACGTGTAATCATATATATACTTTATACCTATTTCGAGGTTCCTGTTGACTGATTGAGCAGAAATGATGGACCTCGGTTGATATATCCTCTCCTAGCAGAGAGGCTATGTTGAAGTCTTTGCATTGAGTTGAAGTAATACGTTGAAGTATTTTGGTGGGTGGTGACTAGTGGTGGAATGCATGATGCTTGTTTCGTGTTATTCAGAACTCATCAATTGTACGTACGTGCATTGGGCAGTGCACACATTTCAAACTGAAAGAACTCAAATTGCGCGAAAAGCCCATCCTGGTTATTACCGCCAGTCACCACCCACGAAACCAATTTCACATCTTACCAATTGAAAATCAGAATATGAGCAGACGATGTTCAATGGTGCTTTCAAATATCACCATTGTCACCATTAAATTGGGTATTTTTGATGACGTTGTTAATGCTCTGTGACTGGTCATGCATTAGGGGGATCGCATGAGTAGATTGATTTAGAGCATATACGTGAAATGATCCGGTTCTTTGGAGATGACAAAGAATTTGATTTCTCCAAATGTCTTTAGAATTGAGTTGATTACGCTGTGTTTGCGGCTGTTGCAATGTGATGTTGTTGATGAGGGTTGATGTGCATTGAAATCGACTTCGAGTAAACAAATCTAAGATGTCGGTCACACTGATGATTCGATATGGACATATGAATAGTTTGATAGTGATTGAATCGCAGCTCTGCAAATATTTCTATCCAAGGACTTGTCGCATCAGGGTCTCCACTTGTTAGTATAAACTTTCAATGTTATCCAGTCTTCATAATGTTTAAGAGAGTTATTCTCAAAGTTATTCATACCCTTGAATATCTTGAACAGCTCAGAAAATCCCTCCTCATAATTCCATCTGCAGTCGCGTTTCAGTCCTGTAATCAATGAAAACACAATTCATGGACCATTCGAACACAACATAGATATGATTTTTACGCAAATAGGTACGTGGTTGTGAATGTCACAGTAGAAGACATATGAAGTGATTGAGTCTCATAATGAACTAAAATCGAGTGGACGATTTGCAAATTACTTCGTAGTTTACTGAAGCCTCAGTTGATTATGTGCGCATATATCCATTGTGAAAATGGGAATTATTCATCGTGATATGACTGCATTGACACTAGTAAAATGAGTAGTATATAGTGTCAGCCATTACAGCGGGCTTTGATGATAATCCTTTATGATATCAAGAGGATTACGCACTCACAATGAGTGACTGGAAAATTTTCGTTTGCTTAGGAGACTGAGTGGCGTCGTTTTACACATTCAAACTGGTTAAATTGCAAATAGGATTCGATTAATCACCAGTTTGCCAATGAGGCAGCCAGAATTTGGGTGGCTTGAACCGAGGTAGACTGATCACACTACTGGTGAAGTCACCGCCAGAAGGGAACAAATCGCCACCCAGTGATGTTCAGATCACTTTCATCAAGTTGGCTAAACGGCACTACTGTTTGTTAGCTGAAGTGTTCTACAAGTACATATTATTCTCAGTCAGTAGTATGTGGTTTTCATGGTCTTTTGGAACTCTTTAATAACACAATTGAATGCTGTATTATGCCTTTAGCTCTTTGACAGTCAACACGACTACTTACTGCTCAGATATTCCATGGAAGTTTTCGCAAATATCTGAAACTTGTTGTTGTGAATAACTGAAAGACAGAAAAAAAGAGGTGACAACAACAGTACGAAAATAATCTCAGCACATGTGTGCAAGTGGCAGACTGCGGTGTGAGCATGTTATTCGATAAAATGTAGGTCACACACATGGTGAAACAGTATTGAAAACTGGATAACTACGTTTTGGAAACGATTTCAGATTGTTCAGAACCATATCATCGAAGAGAAACTACACAACTTATAGATGTGATTTTCATAGTTACGATGCTTACATTGCGTTAACTGTCCAGGGTGGGGGTAGAATTTTCTAGATGTCCAGTGTTACGGGTGTTGAACAATTTTTACTTATTGTATTCTCAGTTGATCGGATAAATAAAGCTTTCAGTGTATATAGCTAGCATGACTCAAGTTGTCTAGTGGTTGATACTTTGTTGTTTCAAACAATAGGTGCTCGATTAGAGTCTCAGCGGGAGCATACTGATATAATGGTGTTCGCAGGTGCATCTCACTGACGGAACTTAAGTAACTCAAAATATGCATCCTGAACTATATTCCTCAACACCATACACGGAATTACTTTGAGTTTAGTCCTCAGATATCTTTGAAGCATCCGTGGATGGACAGCCGGCAAGTATACAGAAGTGTCATATCTCGACCCAACCAGTCAACAGGCAATCAAAACTGAACTGAAAACTGAAAATAAGGCGTCAGTTAACAATCACGGTGTCTCCTGTTGCATTAGATTTTAAAAGAAATAACGAATAAGTAGAAGGTAGAATTAATGGATTGGCAGTGGATTCAGGTTCTGGTGGAAAACGTCTGTGACCTTGCCTAGAAAGCGGAAGCTACTGGGTTCGTTTTCATGTGGTTTGCATACTGTCGATGAGTCCAAAACTATGACGTGAAAGTCAGCTGTCCAGTATTCCATGGTGGTTTTCAGTGATCCTCTAACTGATAACATTTTGTGGTCAATCTAGGAATAAACAAATGAATTCGTGACTTAGCTATCCAGTAAATAATGCCAGTTCATTGAGTGATATGCGTGTGTCGTCTGGCAGTAGGCAACTCGCTAACCATGCATGTGATCTGGTGTTTGGTCTGCAAAACAGAGTAGGTTGGACGTGAAAGATAAGACGATTTCTGCAAGGAATGAGAACATTCGACGGACAGGCTGAGTTCCTTTCACGACAAAGTGTAATAGGCATGTAATGAAGAGAGTGGAAGGGAATTACGGCACACTTTCACTAATTGAAACTCAAGTGTGTAATTTCTGTATTTTGTCATGAATCAGAATGAAACATTTTGAAGAAGTACGGGAGAATAAGTCCAGCTAGGTGTCTCTCTTTGATGAAATCGTTTTCAAGTATTGGTTTTTGTAGGGATTTTGTTTGATTGCATGGAGGATTTAATCATGAGCTGACATCAGCTAGAGAACCACTGGAAAACCTGGGAGTACTGGACAGCCGTTTCGTCCTAGTTTGGGACTCCTCAGCAGTACGCACCCACCGGGATTCGAACCCAGGACCTTCTGGTTACAAGGCGAGCTCGTAGACCATTGAGCCACTGGGACCCGATCCAATGGTCCTTGAATTCTAACTTCTGCCAGTTCACGACATAGCGCGACCACTTCGCAATGTCTTCTTCGATGAGTTACTGCCTCATCTTCGACCTGCTGTACCCTACTGGTCACGGTGAACTGGCAGAAGTTAGAATTCAAGGACCATTGGATCGGGTCCCAGTGGCTCAATGGTCTACGAGCTCGCCTTGTAACCAGAAGGTCCTGGGTTCGAATCTTGGTGGGTGCGTACTGCTGAGGAGTCCCAAACTAGGACGAAACGGCTGTCCAGTACTCCCAGGTTTTCCAGTGGTTCTCTAGCTGATGTCAGCTCATGATTAAATCCTCCATGCAATCAAACAAAATCCCTACAAAAACCAATACTTGAAAATTCATCTGATGCTCACTAGTGACTGGCCCTATTCAGGCAGTTAACCTGGGGTTCTAGTGGGAAGCCGTGACCAGTAGGGTACAGCAGGTCGAAGATGAGGCAGTAACTCATCGAAGAAGACATTGCGAAGTGGTCGCGCTATGTCGTGAACTGGCAGAAGTTAGAATTCAAGGACTATTGGATCGGGTCCCAGTGGCTCAATGGTCTACGAGCTCGCCTTGTAACCAGAAGGTCCTGGGTTCGAATCCCGGTGGGTGCGTACTGCTGAGGAGTCCCAAACTAGGACGAAACGGCTGTCCAGTACTCCCAGGTTTTCCAGTGGTTCTCTAGCTGATGTCAGCTCATGATTAAATCCTCCATGAAATCGTTTTCTTCTAAAGGAGTAAAAACACATTCATATGCAGTTTTTCATGAACCAGACTAGAATCAATAAGTGTTGTTTTGTCGAAATGATGCGGACAGTGGGTCTACAAGGACTTCGATAGTTTAACAATTGATCAAATAGTGGTCATTCTATCTCAACAAATTCCACCTTCAAAGTAATCCTCACTTTCGTGTTCTCTACACTTTGCTGAAGTTTTATCCGTTCAGACAGTCAATCTGAATCCCTGCATACAAAAGCAAATAATTATTCGACCACTTCTACTTGCATGCCAGCAACCTTGTTGGTTTGTTTGTTTCTTTGTTCAACCCTTGACATTCCTTGTACTCTCTTCCAACTCATACGTGAAGGCACACTCAACTTTGTCTGCTTTTGCATCCTGAATATAAATCATTTGTATGAATTATTCATCGTGCTAGTGCGTCATTCAGATATCCTTATTTGACTGCTCTTACAAGATTGATTGATATCTACGAGCATGACTGTGACAACTCAACTCTTTTGTCGCTTCCTGACCTATTTGCGGAGAGAACATTTTACATAAATGCTATGATTGTACAGCTGTCGTAAAAAATGAAATCGCCGAACAAGTGTCTCTTCGCTGAACTAAGTGATCTTCATTCCCGTCTGAATGCAGATTATTCATGAATTCAATAAGCGGTCCTGCGAAAAATACTTCTGTTTTCTGTCATTACAGTAGTAATATTACTTCGATTTAGTTTACTCTTGACTTGCAACAGAATCACGGTAAACAAGAACAGAGATGTTCTAGATTAGGTTTGTAGTGACTCGTTGCGTTTCAAGCTCGTTGACGAATTGATGTTGGTGAGAGAATGTTTGAAAACTAGCCAGGAGTACTAGACAGCTGCCTCAGAGTCCATTAGATTGCATCACATCTACTGGGTTTGAAATACGGGACCATCCAGTTGCAGAAAATGCTGCAATACACTTCTCTGGTACTTCCAGGTAATTTTCACTGGTACCATAACTTGCATTACTGCATGATCAAATTTGGAACAATGGCTTAGGTCCAAAAGTAAAAACATTTCTATGTGTAAATCATCTTGCATTATCACGTGCAATATGGTGCCGTTACTAGACAAGTATCAGTAGGTTGTTATTGCACAAAAGATCAGTTGTATTAGGGTCATCATTATTATCACTAAAAGTAGCTTGAATATCTCACCATAGTTAAAATCCAAAGAGTCGAACTGATATCTGGTGATGTCAGTGCCAATAATGCTGCGCCTGTAAAACAGATTTATACATTCAAATATTTTACAGGTAGACACTGTAACGGAAAAATTGTTTGCCTAGTGTTTCGTGAACCGTCTAACTACAGAATACATACTTATGAGGACGTTTCAATTCACTATGTACTGATTATCCGTGATTCTCCCAAACTGCAATATCAACTGTTGACTTGGTCACTATTACTTGAAGTGCTCTCTGCTGAATCTATTTCCGTAGTGCTTCCCTGTGTGGTTGTTCGGTAATACTGGTAGCATGTTTCTATACGATGAAATTTTGGTCGAGTGAATCAAGGTCGCTGTGACTTGTATTGCCTAGAGGAGTGGTTTCATGCGTGACAGGATTTGCTGACAGAGTTTTGATCCCGCAATGTTGGGAATGTTCTACTTGATGAGAAGTGGTTGCCTTATAATAAGGAAGTTACGGTGTCTGTATAACCGGATTCCTGAGGTGAAATTGAGTTTTCCATTTCATTATTGTCGAACAGAATTACACATATCTCTATCGAGGAATAATCAACCGTTGCTGTCTCTAGAGTGTTTTGTGAATGTGCAAGTCTGAAAGAAGTTTCGGATAGCCATACAGTAGTACATGCAGATTGGTTCACGGCATTCACACTTCAATTCAGTCATAATTACATGAAGTTAACGAAAAGAATAATGAACATGTGTTGGTGAGATGTGAAGATTATGTGCATATGATGTAAGAACCGATTCAGCACAAAGTCTGAAATACTAAGGGGATTGGAATCACTTCAGGTCTGATCACGTAATTATTGATGTCAACTAGACGACCATTGCAAACCAGTCACGGTTACTTCAACCTTGTTTTCAGACTGTTAACTACTGTGAACCCATGACTTCAAACACCAGGAATCTAGTGGTGATGTTATTTAAAGCAAATAAGCAGAGGTTAGAGTTTAAAGGCTAGGTATTGGATACTGTGTCAATGTGTGTATTATCAATGAGATCTCCTGTAATCATGTAGACCTTCCGTTGAACACATGTGCGGTTGTGAGGTCTGTGCTGGTCAGTACTGTCAAAGGAGGATGAATTCGGTGTCCATCACTCCGCGGACCGTTCAATGCTTCTTCGAACGACATCAATCTGAAACCTAACTTGAAATCAAACAAATGGGTACAAACCAACACGTGATCTTGTCAGAAGTAACTTCACTCACATTCAGCAGTTTTGTAACGGCCATAGAGCTTGCTGTAATTTTTGATCAGCGTGTTGAATTTAACTAGGATGCACAAAAGAAGTAAGCACAAAGTGGGGAAAGTTGAAGATAGTATTTTCAGTTGCCAAAATATGAATACTGGTAATACCCTGGTCTCCTTTTCTCTCTCGATAATATTAGTGAACAGTTAGACAGTTGAACTACTTGTCAGCAGAGAAACCAAGACGTCAACTGGTCATTTGCGAGCTGTAGCTGAAATGTGGAAGTGTTTAAGACATGACAATATTGATGAGTGTGGATTTCGAAAAGAGAACACGGGTTGGTCAACTGGACAACTATGGAGGTCGTTGATACTTCCGTTCAAACAGAATCAGCTAATACTTCTCTCAGAAAAGTGTTTACAATTAACTTTGGGCTGTTTGGGTGGATTTTGCTCACATCGTCTTCATTCAGTCGAAGGAAGAGCTGACACACCCTGTTCAAAAGTCTTTAGTCCAACCTTTTTCATCAACATGCACTCAGAGTCTATTTTATCTCCACCCCTTTTGTTGTGTAATACGCTCTGCGTGATATTAATTTATTATTATTCCGTTGGGTTCTTAGGTGAGCGCGGTGCTTCAACAGACCATCCTCATTCTGTCCCATTTTCTGCAGTAGTTTGCTACTGACTCGACAATTGTTCAAAGACTTTCGTTTCATCCTCTCACGATCTACTCCATACCACCTTCTGATGTGACAGTCGTTGTCTTCTGGGAAGGCTACACTACAGCGCATGCAGTGGAATGCCACTCGACTTTGTCCTCAGTTCATGTCCAAACTAGTTCCACTTCCTTCAGAATATTTGTTGAGCATCAGGGTGGCAGATTGCTCTGTCCTCAGAAATTCTTGCAGCTTATCATTTCTAGTTGCCAGTCTGATCTTCACTACGCATTGCTGTCTCACGCGTTTGATAGAGGTCTCCAGTAATCTGTTGCAAATGCTTCCGGAGAATGACATGCCAAGTGAGTGAACCATGTAGAAGAACTGACTTAACATCGGTGTTGACAATCAAATCTCTGTTCATTGTGCTGAGTGTGGAAGATTTCCGATTTGCTCGTCAGATTCTCACTTACAACGCTGTTTCATGAAGTATTCTGGTGTGAATCTGGCCTACATCATCTTTGTATGACAAATTGAGATGTAGAAATATTTTGGAACTTGAAGGTGGGTAGCAGCACTCATAATGACTACGTGATATCTGCCATTGCGAGAGACTGAATTCTATTCCTTGGTGTCTACATCACTTGAAAGGTATTGAATTGGATCTAGAATATCAAACAGCATTAGTGTATGTAGTATGATGTAGGTTGATAGAAAGTGGCTAAAACTGGAATCAATATTTCGAGTGCATAGCCAAATAGTTGGCAGTGTTTTCTGCTGAAATCTAGACTTCCCTTTCACGGTGGAAATCAAACAACTCCATTGGATAACCTGTTACACCTTGACCAATCGCCAATCATTAGGATTTCATGCCTGCACGCTTGTGGTTGTAAAGATACATTCGAGGATGGTAATTCGCCAACTTCGATACATGCACAAAAGTTAATCATTAAGCAACCTTCACCGGAACAACTCGATGTAGTGGAAAATAAATTCAAGTCATCTACACTACAATGTTAGCACGACTTACTTCTTTCAGTCGGAGATATTCCATTGCACAGGACGTAAACCACTGCAAGACAAAAAAACGACGGCAAAATTACTGAATTGCAGGTGTTCAGATCAACGTCTGTTCAATGATCATATAATGAACACTAGTGAAGCATATTCCTTTCCAAAACTCCCTTTCCTCCAGGTTCGACAGTTATATGCATCGATAATAATATAGAGCTATTAACTCATCAGAAACAAACAAATTATCTCATGGGGCTGAGTTTCATGTTCCTCGTATGCAGTTTACGGATTGAGCCATCATGCAGATTTCAAAAAACACCTCTTCTCGTAACAGCCGATGAAGTTCGAGGTTGGTCTGGAGCCAATAGAGTGCATATAGCTCTTCAGTTTCCAAACAACAATCCGAAATAGAAAATAATTTTCACTTCTCAGCGTTTCGAAGCCTTGTAAGGAGAGTTATTTAAGAGCCCTGATATCCAAGTTATGAAACCCGATATAGGTTATAAAGTCGCCATCATCAACGAAAGTGATCACAAACCGAAAATGTTATCTATTCTTGATGATGAATATAAATTTAGCCAAGATCATTATTCGTGAAGTATTCCATTATTGCAAGGTACACTGACAGCTAATCTCGTGAAACGTCTGGGTCTATATGATATTGAAAATGATACATTTGACTGTGTAGAACCAACAGAATGCAAATTCTCATATATGTATGGTTTATTGAAAACACATAAACCCAGTTATCCTCTACCTCCTATATTATCAATGAACAGATCACCAACCCATAAAGATGCTCAATGTCTGCTGGGAATGTTGTCAGGCTATTCTGCACGTATGTGGTAAAAGATGCATGTGAACAGATTACTTACTTAATGGTAATAATTTCATTAGTAAATGTGTGCATTATTTTCATGTGAACTCTATATTCACTAGTGTTGTTTTATGAAAACAAATACTTGACGTTTAGTTTGAAGAATACATTTCTACACATAATTTTCTAATTCTGTTCCCTGTATTCCATTTTATTTAAATGAATTAATACTGCTATATACTAGCAATGTTTGTTTCAAATTTGAGAGCAGTTGCCTGCATCAGGTTGTTGGTTATGCTATGTGAAGTCGGTTTGCGCGCTTTTCAGCAGATATCGATATATCGTAAATTAAGAGATTATCAAAAAATTCAACTGTAAATGTGCCACTTCATGGAAGATATTTTGACAAAACTGTAATCACAAATGATAATATTTGTTTCGCTATTTCAATATTAAATCGAATGAATGAAGTTCAGAGAGTCATGTCGTTTGCGTCTATAGAAGAGAAAGATAATTAAGCAAGAGGCGTATTCGACGAAGAGATGTTTCCTGTCAACGATTCATTTTCATGAGCTGTACAATCACAATTGTATTTAACACAGAATTCATGAGACCAAACATATACTGATGACATTTGTCCTCGAAAGTGTAATGCATAATGTCAGGAGGAGTGACTAATCGGAAATTAGAAGAAAGAGGCAGCAGCTGTGATGCGGTTATAAGAATGACTCAATATAGGAATGGCTCGTGTAAGTAAGATAACTGTTTATCCAACAAACATGCACACAAAAGACACTTGCTGTTGAGGAAAGAATACTGTCGCAAACTCTGGTTGATAATAAGTTAGTCAGAACATCACGGCTCACTTTCCAACTCAACATGAAGAAGCAAGTATAAACCAAGCTGATCTATATGGGTGATCACAGCAGATTGTTCAGTAGACAATGATTGAACACTACCATGAGTAGAGTTTGTACGCAGCTGAGATCACAATAGTTCAGAATATCAATCTGGTCTATCTATCTAAGCACCTAGAACATGCGAAAGGTAATGTAACATCCCTTCATATTTACCATTTTAAATGTACGGGTAGACACATACATCGATGGAGGACGCATAGGTCACTGCAAGTAATAGATGGCTACAGAAACAACTGAATCTTCAGAACGGATTACAGATGAGCTGAGCCAAACTAACTACTCGATTGCGGGAAATATTATTGAGATTGGATATAAAATATTACTGTTAATAATGCCATTATTACCATTAAAATGAAATCGGATCAATACTGCTCATAGGGCAGTTTCTTCAGCACATATAGCCCCAGTTGTTTCAGGTATACTGTAATAGCGTCTTCTGTTTGAAGTATTTGGTATCTTAGAGGCATTTGGCAACTTACCTTCTACCTGACAGATCACAGAAGGAAACTCGTCTACGTTAGCTGTATGTCGTGTTTGGACGAGGTGGTCTCATATTGAAGTGTTCTCAATACAGATTTATTTACCCATACTAGTAGGCGTCTGAAAGCTTGACAAATTCAGTTTCTAGAACAACGAGCAATCAGATACGGTGGTCAGCGTAGTAATTTCTTTCATTACACACAACTGGTCTTGTCGGAACTTCGCGGTGCAGACTAATATCACCCACAGATTCCCTCCCACTGTAATTTGTTTTCGATCCTGAAACCACACAGTAATCTTTAGTACAAGTGTGGAATTTTCAACATGTGATATCAGTAGCCCAAATTTCGCAGACCGACCATAGATATCAGGTGTGCGTCGGCGGAAGATGGAGCCACGGACCATATGCATGTTGTGCAAGATTCTTAGCCACCGTACCATCGACATCAGTGATTCAGTGTTATTGAAAACGATCATGTTTATTGTTCGACCAAGTCAAAAGAAAACACAGGGGAAGGCAGAACAATCAAATAGGTCTCGTGGGAATTGGATAGAAACATCAGAGTGTCACCCCTTGAACAAACACGGAACATATTAATCATATAAAAATGTGGAACAGTATATATTATAAATTTACGTGAAACCACTGATAATCACTCACATTGAAACAACGTCCAAACAAACGTCAGTATCAGACAGTGTTTCTCAGTCATGTTATTCTTGTTCAACGATGTTGAATTAAACACCAGAGGACAAAATATCGCTGCGTTATTTATATCCTACAGGTAGCCAGTGAATGTGAGAAAGAGGGAGAAACAGAGGGTGAGAGAGTGTGTGCGAAATAGGATGCACTTCTCAACATCTAATATTGATGCATTTTATGGTACTGCTTGAAATTCTCACGTGGAATTCACAGCAGAAATTTAAGGACACAATAACAATTGCTTGTAATTACCTGTATGCTTGTATAACTACATCGAAATTATTCCCACGCATGAGATTTCTAAGAATTTGATTTGCAATTAACACAGGATATTTCACTTAAGTAATCGTGTAATAAATTTCACTGTACCAGAAAAAGTTACAATTTAATTAGGCATGTGAGTGATTGAGCAAGTAAAATGTGAGTGAGTAAGTCAGTAGGCAAGTAAATAAGTACGTTGATTATTAGATTAGAGATTTCGAAGTTAGTTGGTCAGCACAGTAGAGGAGGGTAAGATAACTATGTAGTTCGGCAGTTGAATACCTAATTAACAATTCGGTTAGGTAGTAAGTTCGTTGGTTGAATCGTAGTCAATTAACCAGTTCGAGGTAATTTAGACAGCGACTTGGTTATCTAATAGGTTAACTGTTCATTTATTCAGTTAAACGTTATAAGGTCACATTGCTCAAGCAAATTTAGTTCGTGAATAAATAGGTAACCTGATAACAAGTAATAAGTTAGTGAACATCCAAACATACTACTTCATTTTTGTCAGTATTTAGCATCTTGTGATTAATGTGTGTTTCCTATAAATGTTTCGTTAACATTGCACCGACTCTCGGTGTTGATCATTTGGACAGCCTTGTTTCCAATCTGTAGACTTGTGCATTACCATTATCGGACTGTGGATTCCAAAACACTGTTTTGCAATGTTCGGAATTTCAATTTATTCTAGGCAACAGAAAGTTATCGGCAACATACTGAACCAAAGCTGACAAAGTTATGTTCTGCATTCACTTCACTCCTCCTACGCATTCCGAAAATAAGTCGATCAGTCTGTGACCTCGCCAGAATTTGTCACAGCCTGTTTCCCTATCCAGACTATTCGTTCAGCTTATCTCACATGCACTTCCATGTCGAAGCAACTAACCACTGCTGAACTATGATTACTTTGTATGTCTCATTTGCGCTCTACTTAATTCTGTTAAGTAGTGTCAGGTAATACTTGTTTCAATATAACAACCTAACGCGTTCAGTTCCCTGTTGTACATTTGTGAAATCTGGAGCAATATAATCGTGCGATTTTTACCTATTTTATGTACTTCTACTTTTTACCAGAAAATATTTAGCGACGAAATGGTTTCTCTACCAATGCATCATCATCTCGTGATGATACGAATTTGATTCGCCAAATCAAAATGCAAAGATGAACGCATGTTTGTGAACTATGTTTCCTTAACTGAAGATTTGTTTTTCTAGATGTTTCATGCCAGGGTGTTAATTATGAAGAATATTCTCGACCAAATGTCTATATGATTTTGTGAATTCTCTCTTGTGAACTCCTCGTTTTGTGATGACTTATCTGTGTATGAATGATCGTCATGCTTATTTATCCATTGAATTTCCAGACGCACTTCCTCACAAATCCAAACAGGGCTTCTCAATAGAAAATTATAAAGCACAACGTTTATTGTTTCCAGGAAATATACCGTGAATCAGCACTTATGTATACAACAAGTACTCAGTTTTCGTGTCCTAATATTTTCACTGTGGAAAGTAATATGTTCCACGTGAAGTATTGAAACACGGTCACGCATGTGTGATAGTCTTCATGTCACGTCCATTTTCTCTGAAGTTTCCTCTGGTCGATGAATTACTTATGGGTTCCGAAATGAGGTTGTTTGAACAATAATTTCGCGAAATAGCATTTTCCTTCACCGTGTGTTATATTCTAATTGATGAAGTTCTCTAAATTGTCGTGGCTCAGTGCTTGAGTGGAAATAGGCAGCAAAACACTTTTCTATGTCTCAGTTCATCATTTCACACTAACTCTGACTGATAATGAGTTCAGTGAATATTTGTTTACAGGAGACGATATGTTGGGGAAATCGTGGGATGAATATCATAATGTCCTAATTACCAGAATTATCTAACCAGAATTGATATAAAATGTCTCTGTGAGATTCATATTCCGTGTCCATACAGACATCGCAGTCAATTAACAAAGTGATACAACCACTCAGAAATGTCTTTAGAAGTAAAACGTTACTTGTCAAATACGTGATACTCGATACTTATCAGTACGAAAAGAAATGTCAAATGACTGATAACAGCTGAGCATAGAAAGGAATTACTTGTGATTGTCAGCGTAGTCTCTCAGATTATTTACAATTCGTCGATTCTATAAGTGGTACTGATGTATCTGAGAATGAAATCACTTCCATGGATGTCACGTCTGTCGTAACCAATATTTCTCTGACTGAAATGTTTTGTTCCAAATACAAAGTCATTGGGGACAATAATGTGGAGTTGGGTGATGTGATCCACAACTTGAATGAAACTTTCATAATATGTGGCGAGAATACCAATATTGGAAAGATATATAAAGGGTTTAGCAACTGTCATAATGATACGCTGTCTACGACACTTGGAATTTCATTTTCGTAATGTATCAATTCGGAGGACTTATTACGGTTCTCTCCAAAGAGTGGTATACAGAAAACTAACAAGAAATGATCAGTACACGAATTTTCAAAAGCCCCCTCTTTGCAAGAAACAAGAAGGATATGCTCCAGCGATCCAATCAAAGGGAGACGGAATGCACTCAGATAAGTCCTCATGTAAAGTGCGTCTACGAGATTCATCGAGATGAGCACGAAGATAAAGCAGAAGCCTGGAAGGACACAGACTGTGTGGAGAAACTGTATCTCACCTACTGTGAACTGAAAAGCGATGCCGCAGAGCTGGGATTCTGAGAACCACTTATGCAGACCACTGAAAATATCCTTCTTTGTTTTGATTTGAAAGTTTCGATGCATATGAGGATGACAAGCTGCATAGCTGTCTGACATCAATATGTGTTCATAAGTTCAGCTAGTTCTGCGGAACTGGTTGTGCTTGACGCAAATATAGCACATTTTCCATACGTACCTCTGAACATTATCACGAATGGTTAGCGTGCACCCGGTGAACTCAAGCCAAGTAGTAAAACCCGAGTTGTCTTGGAAGGGTATATAAAATGTGAACCCAAAATGTTTAAAGTGTACAAGGTTTTGGCATTTGCGCATGGCAGAGGCAGGATATCACAGTGTAGCTTCTACTGCAAACGCCACCGCCGCTGAAACTTCAAACCTAAAGATTGTGGTTCTTTCTTCCACTGGAATGCAAAAGAATAAAATCAGTGAGAAAATCCTAGAAAACTGTTACTCTGTGTTCAACGCGTTGACACACACTAGTAAACTCAAATTTCTTAAACTACTGGCGACACGAATCACCATCCATTTTCAATGCATCAATACAAGAATACACTTTTGTGGTACTAAGGTCGCCACGTTGTCTCATTTACTTATTTCTAAGAGATTTATTGCACTTAAATGAATGAGTACTTCAGTGATGTATCCTGTGTTAATCACAAAATAAATTGAAGATGTACTGTGTGAGAACAGTTTCAGTACACTCACATGTTTACAGGCAATGAGAAGCACGCCTAACTGTATCCTCAGATTTATCTTGTGATTCTCACATGACAGTTTCACGCAGCAACATGAAATGCACTAAAATTGGATGTTGTGAAGTAAATTTAGGCTCTCTGTTTCCCACCACTAATTTCTACTTAGTATATTTTCACTTTATTTACTATTATTATTCCTATTAGTAGTAGTAGTTGTATACCCTTAGGTATACTAGGGCTTTAACTACATGTCTCCAATTGATGCGAGCCATTTCTTGAGTGGATTCCTATTTGGAAGCAATGACGCGGTCGTCTATACGAATTGAACGTGGAGGATGTCGCGTGGAGAGGCCGATGTGAGAGAATATAGGCAACCGTGGACACAACTGATGAAGTCGTCAGCAAATAAGACAGAGTGAGGAAGTCTTATTGAAGCCCTATGTTGTTAACAAATATATTACCGAATGAATGCTAAGTTGTTTTGTATTGCAATACAAATTCAGTAAACATAAGAGTTGATTCAGAGATGAGGATCCATTTGCGAAGAAATCATTTCGTCGCTAAACACTTCTCCGTAACGTGGAGACTTTATAACAAAATTATGTGAAATGTTTTAAAATCCAAGAAAAAGCAAAAATTGCACGATTATATTGCTCCAGATTTCACAAATGTACAACAGGGAACTGAACGCGTTAGGTTGTTATATTGAAACAAGTATTACCTGACACTACTTAACAGAATTAAGTAGAGCGCAAATGAGACATACAAAGTAATCATAGTTCAGCAGTGGTTAGTTGCTTCGACATGGAAGTGCATGTGAGATAAGCTGAACGAATAGTCTGGATTGGGGAACAGTGTTTGCCTGTGAAATATTTGAATGTATAAATCTGTTTTACAGGCGCAGCATTATTGGCACTGACATTACCAGATATCAGTTCGACTGTTTGGGATTTTAACTATGGTGAGATATTCAAGCTACTTTTAGTGATAATAATGATGACCCTAATACAACTGATCTTTTGTGCAATAACAACCTACTGATACTTGTCTAGTAACGGCACCATATTGCACGTGATAATGCAAGATGATTTACACATAGAAATGTTTTTACTTTTGGACCTAAGCCATTGTTCCAAATTTGATCATGCAGTAATGCAAGTTATGGTACCAGTGAAAATTACCTGGAAGTACCAGAGAAGTGTATTGCAGCATTTTCTGCAACTGGATGGTCCCGTATTTCAAACCCAGTAGATGTGATGCAATCTAATGGACTCTGAGGCAGCTGTCTAGTACTCCTGGCTAGTTTTCAAACATTCTCTCACCAACATCAATTCGTCAAC